GATGAGAGTAAGACTTTATTTTGAAAATAATTTTTAGTTTTTTACATTAGTTTCACAGAAGCCTCTCTGAATATTTATGGGTCAAAGTAGATTAGACACTACAGTATTTGTAATCCAGGATAACCACATTGATTTGCTGCTATGGACATCAAGAAGTTCAATCCTAATAGGTTTTTTAAACAACAAACAAAAAAGTGTGTTACAATAGCAGAACTTCTAGGGACACCAAGCTTTATATTTTAGTGTTTCTTACAGCTCCTTTTAGTTCAAATTAAAATGATAAATGTATTCAGTCTTCAAAAGTAGTGCTGCCATTCAAAATTTGGCCATTCTGGAGATAATGCAACACACTGTGAATTCTCTCCCTCATTTTGCTGCAAATCCTTTGATATGAGTACTGTTTTATTTTTTACAATTTGGCTCAAATGCAGGTGCAAATCATCATGGAAAATAAAGGATTTATTATAAAAGCAAAATTCTTATTTCTTCAATTTCCAAGTCCATTTGTATTTTTTTAACATGGGTTCCTGAAATTAGGAAAGAAAAACAGAAATCAAGAGGACTATGAGAGCAGTAATGGTATTTTCTAAGCATATTTAATATGAACTTGCCATTAAAATGAATTTTTTAAAAATCCTTAAAAAGAACCCCTCTTGCATAATTCTGGTTTATTTTACATACAAACAGTGTTTGAATCTAGTAGCTTTTAAAGCTTCCCACGTATGGTTTGTTTTTGCTAATTACACATTTAACAGATGTATAGAAAAATAATTAATTTTTTCATGTCTCAGATTTTCTTTAAAAAAACCCAAAACCAAAACAAACCCCTGAAAAATAGAGATAAAGACTCAAATGAGGTACAGTTCCTTGAATTATGTAGCTGTTATGAATAAAAAGTTACCTATTTTTGTTTAAGGTTACAGAGCTAAAACTAGTTGGACCAGTTGCTGTTAAATTAGCTTAATTGTTAAGAGTTCTTCTTTAATTGCCTGTCAACAGTTGGTGATTTAGCCATTGTCCTCCCTGGTGCTTGCCCCGGAGCTACACCTGGACATGCAGCCCAGGAGAATAGGAGTGGCCTGAGACCACGGATGCAGATGAGAAATGCACTGCTCCAAAATTTTCCCATTTTCTAGGAAAACCCGTAAAAACAACGAACCAATATAGAATTAGGGGACCCTAGGTGATGTCTAAGGATGGGCGCGAAGTCCAGTGCCTGCTTGGATCCTTTTTGCTTCACACCCTGACCTAAAAGGATGTTCACTAAGGAGGGGACCTGAAGTGTTGGACCGAAAAGGAGGAATCTGCGAATCTCCCGTGAGGACGCAGTCCCCAGCTCTGCCTGCAGACTAGCGGACAGAGCTGCATCACCCTCCTCCTCCGTGCCACTCTTGGGGACAGCGGCGGCGTGGGCTCGACTCGTCGATTTCTCCCTACCTGAGCTGAAACTCTTTAATAAAGGCATTAAAAAGGAGAAAGATCTCCTGCCTTATTTATGTCAGCTTGGGGCCTCGTCCGGGATAGCCACGCCTGAAGAGGACACCAGGACTGGGACGGGACGCCGACCACCCTGGACCTGCAGGACAGCTGGCTACCAGGACCAGAGAAGATCAGCTTGGGGCAGTGACACCGAGGAGCGCAGGACTGGAGAGAATCTCTGGCGGCGGGAGAGGGAGGCGAGCGAGTGTTGTGTGAGTGAGACGAGGGCCAGCAGCTTGGCCCCTCGAAGTGAGTGTGGACCCCTCAGTACCGTGGCTCCACACCCCCGCGAGGGGGCCGGCCGGGAACAGAGGGAAGCGAGTGGAACTGGTGATTGAGGCGCCTCCAAAGGGGTAAAGAGAAGCCCCCTCCAGGCGTGCGGAGGAAATAGTTGTGTGAGTGGCACGCACCCCAAAAGCCCTGGTACAGGTCCTAACGAAGGAAGTTAGGCCATTTAGGTAATCAGGCAGTTTTCTTTGTAGGTCCTGACAATGGAGGTCAGGCACGAGGTCTGGCAGAGGAAGCCTTATCTCGAGTGTTTTAAAGTCCGGACAAGAAAGGTTGGGTAAAGTCACAGGTCCCGAGAAGGATTCGGGCAAGTCTAAAAGCCCTGCAGGCAAACAAAGTCCTGATGAAGGAGGTCAGGCAGACAGCCTGAGAGGCCAGGGTCTCGAGGATTTTTGTTTTGTTGGTTGAGTCTTGGCAAGGGAGGCCGAGATCTCTTTTAAGTCCTGACAAAGGAGGTCAGGCAGACAGCCTCAGAGGCCAGGGTCTCGAGGATTTTTGTTTTGTTTGTTCAGTCTCTGCGAGAGAGGCTGAGATCTCAACAAAGTAAAGATCTCCTGCCTTATTTATGTCAGTAGCTGTTTTCTTTTGCACAAAGGACATCACATTGCTATCCTTCTTATTAATTTCTGCAATGCCACAAGACAGAAAACATCTGCTGAATAGATCCTTTTAAAAAGAAAAATACATACAAGACACTCCTCAAATACACTGTTTACTGCAAACAGTTAAAACATTTCAGTGGTAATACTGCTATTTTACTCAGAAAAAATTCAATACAGTATTAATTTCAAATAATCAGTAACAACAGGTACTTCCACTATTAACAACTGCAAGATAGAGCTGTACATGCCATTTCACCAATGAAAAGGTTCTGAGAAGGAATTTGCTCTTTTTGGATCAGAGAAAAAGAACCAGAAAAAACACCACTAGTGAAAACAGTCTTTGCCAGCACATTTACAAGAAATGCTTTGTCCCTGTGTGACTTGAGGAAGTAATTTCCTTTTTTTTCAAGAAAGGGTTAGGTTTTATGTGGGATTTGTAACATGTCAGTATTTTAACGCAAATTCCCCAGGAGAGACAATAAAGAGGAATTAGGAGAAGAAGAAGAAGTAGGAGAAAACTGAAGGAAGACCCCCACTGAATGTTTGCTAGTGATGCCTCTAGTCTAAAATTCAACATGAGAAGTTCAGGTTGGAAGGAAAATATTTTGGTGTACAGCAGCCAGTTCAAAATAAACTGTCTATAGGTTCAGCAGCTGACATTATTAATTCAGAAAACTTCTCAGCTTAAGCAGCCATGTACATCATAGAGCTGCTTTCTTCTCACATAGGCAGCCTGTTCTGTTCTACAACAGTTAGTTGTTCCTCGAAAAACTTTTCTTTTAAAGACATGTGGTGCTAGAAAAAAATCATTGTTCTTCAAACTAGAAAAAAGAGGAAAAAAAGAAAAAAGAAGCACCATTTCCACCTGATCCATGACATAATCTATTGCATTGGAGACACGTACATACATTACAAAAAGAGATATAAACATTAAGAATAGAATCCAAGAAACATATCTTTTCCCTATTCTCCAGCTCAAAAAGCAGTTTGTACTCTAGCAATAGTTTTAAAAGAAATCATTGCCATCTTTACAAGAGACACAGCACAAAAATCATCCTGAAGCAGGCTAAGTTTGGAAACGTAACATCTCTGAGCAAAAAATAATGTTATAGTCCAACACCAACTTCATCAGAAACCACCCTCCCAGCAGGCACTGGTAGGACTTCTTAGCAAAGAAAAACAAAGGAAAAACCAGCAAATTTGGGAGGGTGTGTATAAAGAGAATGCAGGGACTTTGTTTTATGGACTTTAGCAGTTAACAGGTCCCCTTGCTCCTTGCTGTACACCTAGGCAGTTCCCTAAGTCTTTACAGAAGGAGGATTTAACCTCTTGGAACCAGTGTGAGAGAAAAAGGCATTGGTAGTGGACAGAAGAAGACTGTTCAGACTCAATACAAAATCTCCACTTCATTTGAGTGAGTCTCTGACTCTGTCTTCTACTGCAGCAATGGAAGAGAATAATTCAGGTACATTTAATCTGACCTGAATTATTCAGAGAGAGAGAGAATTTCTCCTACTTCTCAGAGAAACTCTATCAAGAAGTATGCATGTAAAGTAATCATAACTGCAAGGGAGACACCAAAAGCTTTTCCTCTTCTGAAATGCAGTCAATATTCTCAGCTGCAGGGCTGATGAACATATAAAATTAAAAGAAATAGAAGCACATAATTAGTTTGACTTTAATCAATCCCCAGTAAGGTCATTGTCAATCTGACTAAAATTAAATTAAAAATTCCTTCAAGAGCTGCGCCTTGAGTTTGTGTTCTCCTCCCTTGCACAATTCATAATTAGATTTTAAAAAAATATAAACAAACACCTGACCCCTTCCATGCAGCTGTATCAGCTTTAGAATGTAAATTCTCTTCGCAAACATGTCCACATCTTGTGATGGTTTTTGTGATGGCTAGTGCTTACACTACTATGAAAAACTTAGTAGTAGTGCTTGGATACTAGAATTTTTGATGACCTGAAGAGAAAAAAAAATTGTAGCTCTTTTCCTTCCACTCCCCAAGAAAGACAGGGAATTTGAAACTAATGAACTAATAGACACAATAAAAAGGAACATTTAAAACTCTAGAACATTTAGCATTTTATTCCTCTGATAGCACAAAGCACAATAAGAAAAAAGGCTTCTTCTTTTCCTTCAATCAATACAATCCCTTAATAACTCAAATTTCAACACATTTACATAAAATATTAGCATTATATATTTGTAATTGATAAACTGAGCCAGCAAGGTCATCAGTTTTCAATTACTTGTGGCAACCAGATAAGGTGATAGTGCACAAACTAATAACTGACAGTAGTCAGCTAATGAACACGTTCATGCCTCATGGAAGTAATGAGCTTCTGGGTTCATTTTTAATAGCCACTTGCAATCATAAATATGTATTTCCTCTTCTGCTTCATGAAAAAGTTTATTATATATAAACTGAGATGTGCTCACCACAAAGACATGCAGTATAATTTCTTTTTGCAAGGACCATGCACTGTTTTTTATGTTATGGAATGCATTAGTGTAGTTGCAGGTGTAACAAAAGTGTTAACTGACTTAACACAGCAAGAGTGTTAACTGGTACGTTGCAGCAGTTTTACATGCCTGTAAATGGGTTCTAAAAAAGATCGTACTTACAACATCAAACTTCTGTGTGATGTTCCCCTGGACATCAAGTAAATAAACTTTGCCATAATGTGTTCCCAGTGCCAAAAACTGTGAAAGAAAGATATTGATTACATAAACACAAAGATACCACAAGAAATACTACAACGCTAAATGAACTCCAGGATTAGCAACACTGGGGAAAAGAAAAAAGCCCACCACTTTCTATAGTGAAAGGTTATTTTAACTGCTCCCAAAGAATAAAAGAGGGCTTCAAGCCCATATTACTGTGATAGTGCAAGTTAGCTGTCAGAATGAGTCATGAGGACCCTCATCCACTGACAACTAATGGTGCGTCTGCAGTCTGTATACACCAGCTGATGGACTGTGGCAGCAAATTAAAAATGCAGCGTGAGAGCAAGAACCAACAGAGATCTGAAACAGTTCCTAGATCCTTTCTGCAGCTTTGTTTCAATCCTAATGTTTCCTTTGAGCTTTATTTTTAATTCTCCTTCATTATTAAAATAAAAACAAAGTCTTCAAACACAGCAAAAGGCCAAATGCAAGCCACTGGTAAAATACGCTTGAATTATGGAAGGTCTATGACAGTGCATTTAAGCACACAGATAACTCCTGGGTTTGTTTTCCTTCACGTAGTAACTTTCCTAAATAGAATACTCCCAAGACAAATACACTGCCTTGGAAATCTCAGGAGTTTCATTCTAAAAAACAGTAGCAAAATAAAGAAATCTCGACATAAATCCATACTATCACAAACTTATTTTGATACAAACAAGAAGGAAATTGATTCTGAGAGATCTGCTGTTAATTTAACCATGTGAACTACACCTAAACAGAAAAGATAGAATTTCAGTACTACTTGATTTATGACAGAGGTTTCTTTTATTTGCCCCTTCCCCCACCCTCCCACTTTCAGCATTACTGAAATAGTCTAGGCTACTCAATTTTCTGTATTTCACTGCATGTGAGCATGCTTCATTGCAACCTATAATGAAATGCTCAAATTTACAGGCACTGCTAAGCGTGTCAGTCAGGCAGCACAATCTTTAAAAAATAACCTTACAGAAAGTCAAGGTTTAAAAGGATTTATCAAAATGGAATTGCTTAAAATGAAATTTCTGTTCAGGCACTTAAAATATGAAGCTACATTAAAAGGAGGGAAGAAAGGGAAAGAAGGGGTTCATTAGAAATTCATTCCCTGCAATGCCTTTCACTCCTGCAAGGTTGCCTTTTTTCAGGAAGAAAAAAGTCCCTCAGGTAAAAAAATCAATACTGATTAATAAAACATCAGGTGTGCAGACATAACTAGGTATGACTATTCCACTGCACAGGCCTGCTTGAATGCACCAGGTGCCATGACGATTAGTCATCCAGTGCAGACAGCAAGCCTGGTGAAAATATGATGCTTTAGCAGCAGAAATGAAAAAAATAAATTCTGGGGGGAAATTAGTGTGAATGAAGAAGCCAGATCTCAGGATTCCCAGCAAAGTTATACTGCTTTAGTCAGAGTTATATTTTACATATTACTGTATAATTTTTCTAATGATAGCATTCAGCAGGGTTTTTCCTGTTTGTTCAGGAAAAAAATCCTGAGAAAATCAACCAGAATGAAAGAGAAATACCCTTGCAAAACCTATAAAACAGCCTCATTTTTAAGCTCTCTGTTGCAAGAGACCATTCCTAAAAGACTGCAGTACCTGGCTTCTAACAATATTGATTCTTCTCATAAGTAGTGTATCTAGTTTGCTGGAAAACTGAAAGTGCTGGGATACTTCAACAGTTTTCCTGTATTGTCATGCTTTGTGACACTATAGCAAAAACTGTATCTGTTCACATCCTTATAGAAAAATCCTGTTAAACTCTCGGCTTTCAAAATTTACCTGAGATACAGGAATAAAAGGTAACAGAAACAGACCACAGACAAAGAGGAAATGCATGCCAATTTTCCAAATATCTGTGTAATTCTAAGTTGTCAAAATTTTTAAAAGACTTATTGTTTTCATTCACACAGTTAAAATACAAGCTTCATCTTAAGAGCCTCTTGAGCCATAGCAACAGTCCTCTGAGGAAAAGAAACACAGCACAAGTCAATCTAAAAATATAGCCAAATAATAAAGATAGATCCCCCTCAACAATAACTGCTAAGGAGATACTACTGGCTATGAAAAATTATATATTCAGAAAATAGCTACTATGTTTTACATACTAGTAGTTGACAAATCATTAACTCACACTTTCAAATGCACTTCAGAATGCCTCAATATTCTAAAATGTTTTTCAGTATATATAAAAGAGAAGAAAACTCATAAAACACAAAAGCAATTGTTTAATTCACTGAAGAAGCACATTGAGTTTATTTCTTTTAAGAACAAAATATTAATTATTTTAAAAATTTCTTTATTTTGCATTGTCTATTACTTTATCCTTATCATACCTCTGGTACATCAAAACCTCTAGCATGTGCAGTTCCTTTCTTTAACACAGTGAATCTAGGAAGGGGGACAGGGAAGTGTTAGTACAACACCCGCCCCGCAAAAGTAAAGCCTAAGCAAACAAAAAATACAAGAATTACTTTCTTCTACACTGTATTAACATGTCTTCCACAGCCAAATATATATGCTAAGTTCCTGACATGATCAAGTTGGTCTTTACTGACACGGCTGTACAAATAAGTACAATATATACCAGCTTTCTTTCTGAATAAAGAAAAGTTAGGACTGTATTCTGATAGCAGTTCTTAATACTATTCATAATTAAATCTGAGTGAGCATTTTTCTAGTAGTTTATGTAAACATCTCATCTAACAAATCACTGCATCTTGAATTCTCACCTCATTTCCTCATTGAGGAAATGTGTTTCCCACTGAAAAAATCCTTGATACAAACAAGAAGGGAATTGATTCTGAGAGATCTGCTGTTAATTGAACTATGTGAACTACTTATTTTATGACTGAGAAAATGTGGATTTCTCAATACAGGTAAATGGTGAATTTTGTTTATGTTACCATTGCCTTGCAGTGCCACTCTAGATTCAGCATCACTCCTACACAGAAATACACTGATGCATTATAAGCACAGATAAATACATAAAACCCAGCAGAAGTGCTATGTCAGCCACAAAGTCACACAATACCTTTTCATGCACTGTCATGCAGCTGGCTGCATCCTTCTGGAGAATTTCGGTCACTCCATTAGAAAGCCGTTCATACTTGAGCTTAGGTTCTTCTTCACTCTCATCTTCCTAAATTTTTAGGAGTGTAAGGAAAAGGGAGCGAGAGAGAAACAATAACAAAAATACTTAGAAGTTTATTTCAGATAAAAATAAATTAAAAGATACCCCAAAACTATCACACAGCAACAGGCGAAGATGGATCACTGCGATCTCTTCACAACAGCCATTACAACCAAAAGCCAAACTTTCACAGTTTAATCATCTGAAGGCGTTTGGGCTGTGCTTTTTTGTTACTGGTTTTTCTTTTTACTCCAAAGTTCTGAGTGCAAAGTCTGTATAGCAGCGTGTCAATTTAGCTGTAGGAGGCACTTGATATCTAAAAAGCAGGAAAAATGTGCATGTGTACTTTGCTACATTAAATTAGTCATTTGCAATTTAGAAGTAAAATACAAAAAGGATGGATATGGTAATGAATGATGACAAAATAAAGTATGCCACTGTAGCCACAATGAACTGAAAGCTGAAGCATGCATGTTACAAGATACTTCACGACCTTTACAAGATGCTGCACCTCTGTAGGAAGGATAGATGCAAAATGCTGTGAACAAAAATAAGAAGAATCCACTAGGAATAAGTTAATTGTATACAATCCACCATTGGGCTTATGGTAAAAAAAATACTATAAATATGTTTTCTGGGAAGAGGATCTGGGCACATTATACTCCTATGAATCACCTTTATCTTCTGCATGTTAGGATTTTTTTCTGGTAAATACTGAAGCGTTCCTCTCTTTTCAAGCATGTTCGGTATTATCACGCAATCACTACTTAAATGCAAGGAAGGATCATGGGGCAAAGAGTGAAGAGAAAGGAAACCAAGCTAAAAAAAAAAAAAAAAAACAAAAAAAAAAAAACCCAAAAAAACCAAAAAAACCCCCAAGCAGCAAATTTATTGCTCAAAGAAGACCAACATGCTTATCTCTTAGGAAAAGAAAATCCTAGTTGCAAAATAGCTCTTTGGTCATAGGCATCTATCTATAACAGATGGTCTACAGAAGTACAATGCCAGAGAGATTCCACAGGCTTCAGTAAGTTTCACTTAATCTTATACATGCACAGACATACACAAACCCTTATATATCCCTTGGTCCTCACTGAGAAACAGTATACCTGCAATAACATTCTCCTACACTTGCTGCTATTGACTGTAATGAATACATCAACACTGAGTATGTTTCCCACATAAAACATATCTTTCATTCTTAAGTAACCAGAATATACCAGTGCAGTGCTCTAAAGGAGTGCCTTAACTTCCCACCAACCACTGCCTTCCAATTCCTAAAAAAGCACAGTGTCAGCCTACAGCAGAACTGTAATTGTGCAACACTTTATTGTAGACACAATGCAAAAAAAATTTGGAAGAGAGACAAGTTAACAGGTTAATAAAATGTATTTGGTTTCAATTGCTTTTGCAGTACTAAAGCCAGTGTTTCCCAAGTTAAATAGTACAGCCGTTTACTATGTGTGCTACCATCATATACAAAACGTGCACAACCTCATACAAAGCTCAAAAAAGCCATACATACCTATGGAAACACCCAATATTTAGTCCCATGCTTATAGAAATATATACTGCAAAGAAAGTGTTTTAAAATGTTATGTGAGAGTTTTATGACAGAATACAAATGAGATTAATACAGGGATGTCAGCAGTACATGACGCAGGATTATGAAGTGGGATGTCAAAATGTCCACTAAGAAACAATTTTATTCAGTAAATCTAACACTGAACAAAGTTGTTACTAGACAGAATGACAATGTCAAATTACAGGTCTGTATATAAATCAGTCAAATTCCTCATGCCTACAGATCGTTAATAAATGGCTACAAGGTAGAGGGAGGAGGTAAAGTCAAAGTAAAAAGCATAAATTTGATGGAAGGAGAGTGCAAGGAAGTATGTGTCCATTTTATAACAATTAACACATTACTATGTTTTATACATTGCTTACAAAGATTACACTTGAAATGCATGGGCAATCATTGAATAAATTCATAAAAGTAAAAATTGAACTGCAGTCATCTAGTTTTTATAAGATCTCACATGTTGCTGGGGCCAGGACATCCAATGTGCAACCAACATGAAAAGTTAATTCTAGTCTCTGGAGTAGTTTGCATAAAATCATTCATCCATGGACCATTAGATAAAGTTACTGTAAATAAGTTTTACCTGTCTTATTTATGAGTGAAAACTAAGTAATTTTTTCTGCACATGCATATACAAAAAATATATACTTTCAAAAGTCAGTGCACCAAAGCATTCTGCCAGGCTTCAAAAAAATGAAAACTCCCAAATATTAGGCATGATGATGTACCTATTTCACGCTTTCTTGACAGGTATCTTCTATGCCAAATAAAAGTCAAGCTAAAAGGTGAATTGAAATGAGGTTGGGGCACTTTACTGTAAACAAAATGAAATAAAAAGGTGATTTTCAAAAATTCAAGATTACTGCTTCAGACTTTGATATATTAAATGCATTTGATGATCTCTTATTTAGAGTACCAGGGTTTAATAATTTTAAAGGTATTTTTCTACCAGGAAAAGCTTTTATGCAGTTTGAACTTCTAAAGTAAACACAAGCCAGTGTTAATAAAAGCAAATCAATAATTTTTGTTAAATTTTAATAATCTTGAAAACCCACAAATTAAACCATGAGCAGCCTGAGTTGAGATGTCAGTTAGCTGTGTTTCTATGACAACCTAGAGGAATAGTACAAGTCCTGACTTGCAGCAAAGCTAAGACATAAACAGAGTGAAATTTACCCCATACAAGAGAACTCACAGCTTTCCTTAAGGGAAAAAATAACCAAAAAAAAAAAAATTGCCGAATTTACACGTATTTTTACTAACTGTACGACACTTTTAATTAAACCCTCCTAGAGGATTCTAAAAATTTGAAAATAAATTTTCTAACACTGCTTTTTGTACCACCACTTAATACTACTTCAATATTTAATGCCTAAAATTATCTGAAATAACAATACTAAATTTTGAGATTCTTGACAAATATTTTAAGAGAAAAAAAATATTTACTGCTCAGAATGTGTAAAGCACATTTTGCAAAGCACACATGGCAGCCTTAAATTCTGAAAGGCAAGGAGACCCACAGAGTTGTCAGGAGGAAGGTACCTTTGTGATGTTATAAAATAAATAATGACCACTTTTCAACAGCAGGAATGCTAACTTGAAACTCATACTCCATTTGATTTTCCACTTGCCGTTTAAAGCTAAAGCTAGCAGTCATATCGCTAAAATATAGCGCCGAAAAGAACAGGCATCCATAAACATTTCCCACTGAAAGCACATTTCCAACTGAATGAAATACTCTGATTATCCCCTAAGACTAATACAAACTCCTTCCTACTGAGAGCTCTTCCAAGTGTCATTGCTGAACACTCCTGAACTGAAAACAAATTCCTTCTCATTCACCCAGCACCTATGCAACACCAACTCTTCTTCTGGAACGGATTTACAGAACTAACAAGAGGTCCAAATGTGCAACAAGCTCTCAATAGGCCAGTGCCACTGCAAGGGATTCTCATCAGCCTTTCTGAACTCAGGTTCACAACCTTCTTCAGATATTCTGCCCCATCTTTCCTGGCTTTGCCTACAGGAATTGCTGTGCTGGAGCTATGAGTAGGAAAAAAGAAAAAAAATCTGAAGTCAGTCCTTGTGAAGAAAACTTCCAGAAGGAACCTGTGGGCAGTTCCCAGAGTTATTCCATTAGCCCACATTTGCTCCTGCAGCAGAGAATCTGCCCACAGGACAGTCTGTCACATGAACATTGCTCTATTGATTACAGATACTCTAATTATGTTACAGGTACTGACAGCAAAAGTGTCATTCTTCCCAAACAATTTGCCCTCAAAGTTTTTCAAAGCCTTTATGGAAATAAACATTGCATACATTATAAGGCAATTGTCCTTCCCCTTTGCTGCACATCTTCTGCCCAGTCCCAGATAGAATTGCAATTACTATAAATGTCCATTCCAGCCTTGTTTATGCTTGCAAGTTTTGATCCTGCAAAGCATTTAAACTCCAATACGAAGATAACTGAAGTCCATCACAGAAGCAATTTCAAAAAGGACACACTTACACCCTACTCCAACAAGGCCCTAGTGTCATAGGCCTTCTTAAAAGGCTATGTCTGAAAAAGAAAAAAAAAAAAAAGAAAAAAAACCCCTACCATTAATATTCTTTTTTTACATGTTTTCTTCGCATTTTACATTGATTTCAGATATTATAAGAAAAATGGTGAATTACTTCATTTCCTCCTGGCCAGGGCAGGGTTAATTTTTGCAGTAGCCAGGGGAGGCATGGCTAGGACACAGAGGCTATCCTACACCACCTCATGCCATTGCCAGGTGTGGGGAGGACACTCTGAGGAGAAGGGGTTCCTTCTGGTTGATCAGAGGATGGGTTGGGGAATGCTGGCTCCAACCCAGAGCAGCAGGTGAGTACAGGTGAATATTCTTGCATGTGAATCACTCCCTCTCTTTTGTACACTTTAGTTATTAGTACTGTTGCTGTTACTGTTAGTTTTCTTATCTCATTGCTGTTTCCAGTAAATTGCTCTTATCTCAACCCATCATCTTTCTCTTTTGTGCCTCCTACTCTCCTCTCCAGCCCACTGCAGGGGAAGGGAAGGAGGGGAGCAAGCAAGAAGTATGTGGTTTGTAGAGTCTCAGTGGGAGCACTAAAGTGAGGAGTACTATTCCTAAATTGCAAAACCCCCTAGCTTACTGGGTCATTCAAAGTGCTTTGCCTCTATGTGTCTGAATACTTAATGTTTAGGACACATTATAAAATCTCATTAAAAATCTCAAAAACCAAAACCAAACCAAAAAACCTCATTCTGCTGCAGAAAGTGCAACCCCAATACTACTACAAAAAGGTGAGAAAAGACTACTACTTGGCAATTTGTGAGAGTAACTTTTCTTGACATTTAATACAGGTCAGACCTTGAAAAACCATATCAGCACTTTTATTTATTTAAATAGTCATCACTATGACA